AGCTTCTTGAGGCCGCCCACCTTCCTCAGCTCATGGCTCCTTTCATCTTCACAGCCAGCCACAAAAGGTAGAGATCCTGTCATATGTCGAATCTCTCTGACCGCCCCCATCCTGCCTTCATTGCCTGCTTTTGAGCCTTATGTTATTGGATCCTCCAGGGTAATCCAGAATAAACTCCCTCTCTTTAAATCAGCTGATTAGTAACCTTACTTACATCTCCAAAGGCCCTCCACCGCAGTACTAGAAAGTGCTTGAATAACTAGGGCATGTGAATCTTAGGGAGGTATGTTTAGAGTTCTACCTTCCACACATAGTCCAAACTTTCATGTTAACATGTAAAAACACACAATATACTTCTGTGACAAACCTTTGGAAATTAACCATTATTTAGGTTTTATTACTGCAAACTAATTGACAATTGAAATAACAGATGAAGCTTTTGTCAGGACAGTAAAAGGGAGAACATATCTTTGCTAACGCAAATATCCTTAGAAAATACAAGTTCAACAATGCAAAGACTGGCCTGAAGCAGCAGCCTGAACTTAATTTCCTATGCAGGGGTTTAATGATTTTCTTCTCAATAAAAATGAGAAAATGGCTGCTCACAGTCTAGCCTCACCCTAGAAACAGGACTAAAATAAAACTAAAACAGAGACACAAACAAAAACCGGGACACCAAGAAATGGTAGGTGTTTACACATTTGACCCACCAGCCAGGTTTCCCATGAGGACACAGAAGTAACAGTTCCCCATATCCAATCCTCTGTTCTAGTATGAACGTTGTCAGAATCAAAATGGAGTCACTTTCGTCAAACCCTGACAACATGGAGGTCAAGATGAAGACAGAAAAATCAGCCAGGTGTAGCGGCACGTGCCTGTAGTCTCAGCTACTCAGGAGGATTAAGTGAGAGGATAGCTTGAGCCTAGGATGTCAAGGCTTGCAATGAGCTGTGGTTGTGCCACTGCACTCCAGCCTGGGCGACAGAGCAAGACCCTGTCTCAAAAAAAAAAAAAAAATTATTTGCCAAAATATGCTTCATTTTTATTGCTAAAAAATGCTAACAATCATCTGAGCTTTCAGCACGTCATAATCTTTTTGCCGGTGCAGTCTTGCCGGGATATTGATGGCTGCTGACTGATCAGGGTGGTAGTTGCTGAAGGCAGGAGTGGCTGTGGTAGTTTCTGAAAATAAGACAATTAAGTTTGCCACAGGGACTGACTCTTTCACCAAAGATTGCTCTGTAGTCTGTGATGTTGTCTGACAGCATTTTACCCAGAGTGGAACTTCACTCAATATTGGAGTCAATACCCTCAAACCCTGCCGCTGCTTTATCAACTAAGTTTATGGAATAGTCTCAATCTTTTGTTGTCATTTCAACAATGTTCACAGCATTTTCACCAGGAGTAGATCCCATCTCAAGAATCACTTCTTTGCTCATCTATAAGACTCAACTCCCCATCTGTTCAAGTTTGATCATGAGATTGTAGCAACTGAGTGACATCTTCATGCTCCACCTCTAACTGCAGTTCCCTTGCTATTTCCACCATATCTGCAGTTGCTTCCTCCCCTTAAAGTCATCCATGAGCATTGAAATCAACTTTTTCAAACGCCTGTTGTTGATAAGGTGACCTCCCATGAATCACAGATGTTCTTAATGCCATCTAGGATAATAAATCCTTTCCAGAAGGCTTTTGATTTTCTTTGCCCAGATCCATCAAAGAAATCACCTTTCATGGCAGCTATGGCCTTATGAAATGTATTTCTTAAATAAAAGTGAAAATTGTTCCTGGATCCATGGGCTGCAGAATGGGTGGTGTGTTAGCAGGCATAAAAACATTTATCTCCTTATACCTCTCCATCAGAGCTCTTGAGTGACCAGGTGCACTGTCAGCAATAATATTTTGAAAATAATCTTTTTTTTCCTGAGCAGTAGGTCTCAACAGTGGGCTTATATTCAGTAAACCATGTTGTACCTAGATGTTCTGTCATCCAGGCTGTTGTACCATCTCTAGAGCTCAGAGTAGATTTAGCATAATTTTTAAGGGCCCTAAGATTTTCTAAATGATAAATGAGCACTGGCTTCAACTCAAAGTCAACTTAAAGTGACCGACATTAGCCCCTAACAAGAGTCAGCCTGTTCTTTGAAGCCAGTCACTGACTTCTCTCTAGCTGTTTAAGTTGTATATGGCATCTCCTCCTCCCAATACTGCATAAGGCTATTTTACGTACCTTGTAAATCTATTGCTTAATTTAGGAGTCACTTTCATCTTGATCTTAGCTAGATCTTCTGGAGAACTTGCTGCTTCACCTTGTGCTTTTATGTTATGGAGACAGGTTATTTACTTCAATCTCATGAACCAACCTCTACTAGCTTCCAATTTTTCTTCTGCAGCTTCCTCACTGCTCTCAGCCTTCATAAAACTGAAGAGTTAGGGCCTTGCTCTGGATTAGGCTTTGACTTAAGGGAATGTTATGAGTGGTTTGATCTTCTATCCAAACCACTAAAACTTTCTTCATATAAGCAGTAAGGCCTTTTCACTTTATTACTCATTGTGTTCAACAGAGCAACACTTTTAATTTCCTTCAATAACTTTTCCTTTGCATTCACAACTTGGCTAACTGGTGCAAGAGACCCAGCTTTCAGCCTGTCTTGACTTTCAACATTCTTTTCTCACTAAACTTAATCATTGCTAGTTTTTGATTTGAAGTGGGTGGAGTGCAACTCTTCACTTGAACACTTCAGCCCACTGTATGGTTATTACTGGCCTATTCAATATTGTTTTGTCTCAGGGAAGAGAGAGGCCAGGAGAGAGATGGGGAAACAGCCAGTCAGTGAAGCACACACAGCATTTATTAGGACGACCATCTTTTATGGGCATGGTTCGTGATGCCCCAAAATAATTACAACAGTAACATCAAAGATTACTGATCATAGATCACCGTAATAGATTAAAATGTGACACAGAGACACGAAGTGAGCAAAAATGGTGCCAACAGACTTGCTCCCATGCAGGGTTGCTTGTAAAAAACTTGTAAACTTGTAAAACATGCAATATCTGCGAAGTGAAACTCAATAAAGCAAAGCGCGCGGGAAAGTAAGTGTGCCTCTACGTTCTGCTTTAGCAGACACTAGGTGGCGAGCGTTATTTGAACTTTCACAGCAGGCCGCGTATCTGCCCCTGCACATTCATGGATTCGGCCAACTAGGAATACAAAATACTTGAAAAAAATAACGATTTAAAAATAAAAGTAAAAAAAAATCAGTATAACTATTTGCGCAGCACTTACACTGCATTAGGTACTATAAGTAAACCTTGAGATGATTTAAAAGTCATGAAAGGCTATGCATACATTAAATGCAAATACCACACCACTTTATAGTAGGGACTTGAGCATCCGTATCTGCAGGTGGGCCTGGAACCAACCCCCTCCAGATACCAAGGGATGAATGACCATACGTGAGTGAACCTGTATTTGCAATGTTTTGGTCTGCTTAAGCCAAACATCAACTCTAACTGTGCAGTGTCACCAATACAGCTATACGAAATCAAGCTACATGTATATTCACCACTTATTTCTGTTTTATCACATTCATTACTTCAGCCTATTTTTAACTTTCTTCCAAAATTACCCTCAATCTAATTACAAAAGCAGCAGCTAACTTTTAATTAAGAGTTTACACATCAGGTATTTTGCTAAGCACTTCACCTGCAGTATCAACTTTAACCTTTTAAGATAAAGAAACTGCAGAGACTGCGAGAGAGGAACAACGTCAAAGAGCTAAGGAGCAGAGAGGCCGGGTCTGAACTCAGGCCCTGCTCTTAGTCGGCTACTATCTTGTCTCCGCCGGCGAGTCAGGTTTCTGGCGCTTTCAACACAATGGCATTCCAAGACTTCTCGCAGCAGCTCTTCCGAGCGGGAATTCGGTGTAAAACGATGCAATGCCGAGTGCTCCCAGGTTCTCATTTCTCCCTTCGCTCTCCTCAGACATTAGAAATATCTAATGTACCTGGCAGGAAAGCACTCATGAGGTTTTCTCAACACTACCTAGGAGGAGTGACAGGTGGCACTGTTCAAAAGCCCTTTTCCTTCACTGGAGGGAAAGCCAAAATCTGACCTTTCACCTAAAGATACACCAACGAGTCTTTCCCCTTCTAACGCATACACTTTTCCCCCCCAATTCCTCAGCAGCAACTCAGGCCTTCTTCCCCAAGCTCTCACTGCACGCTCTCAAGGCTGCCAAGAAAACAATTAATAGAAAAGAGAAAAAAAAAGCCCGCAAAGACTCAACTGTGTGTGCTCTCCACTAACACGGCACCGGTGCTGCCTTTACTGACGCTGGGAAGGCTTCTCCTCACTTCACGCGTGAGGGCGGGCAGCGGGCGCAGAGAGCGGCGCTCCGCGGGACCCACAGCGGGGTTCACCGTGGAGGCCCCGGGCCCGGCTCCCCCGCCAGGCTCCCTGCCCCAGCCCCACCGGACGACGCGGGCCCGGGAGCAGGAACGCGGGACGCTGCTGACCGCCCAGATCCCCGAACTCACGTTTGTACTCGGCCATCAGTCTCTTCAGCGCCGTCCCCGCCATGGCCCCGCAACAGCTGCGCTAAGCGACCTCACCTCAGCCGCGCGCGTCCCTCCTGCCCCGACACCGGGGGCTGCTTCCGGGTCACCGTCACGGGCCCAGGAACTCTTCCGGGGCGTGGTGCGTAGCGCGCGTGCGCAATCGCCGAGGCGCGCTGTCGGGGTGGTGGGAGTTAACGGGCGGCAGAGGGCTACGGTTCTCTCGGCTCTTGCACCGTCCTTAGTCGCTCTGCGTGGTTGGTTCCGGTCCCGGCACTTACAGAGGCCTCAGGGTCCTGGTCTTGTAGAGACTTCCTGAACGGTGGCGCCTGTTCTGTGCCAGCCGCGCGCTGCCGAAGGGCGGGAGGACGGAGTTTGTAGGGGGTAGGATGGAGGTTGGGGAGGGAGGGCGGAGACGAGATGGGAGGTCGCGGGGCGGTCGGGGGCTGGGAACAAGGCGCCTGAGGCGCGCGTCCGCGCTGAACGTTCCAGCCGCCCCCGGCCGGACGGGTTTCAGGTTTGAAAAGGTGGGAAGGTTGGCTGTCCTGACGCTTTTTCTCCACGTGTTGTGCGGCTCCGCTGGAGTTCGAGTCCAGCACTTTCTACTCCGAGGGAGAGAGCCGCGGGGAGAGCCCCGTTCGGGCTCGCGGCTCGAACTGGCCGCCGGCTCCGCTGGGCAGCCTCGACACCAGGGCACCCCCGGGAGGGAGGGCGCGGCTCGGGTCCCTGCCCGAGCCCCAGGGGTGCTGAGAGACTCCCCAGCGCCCTGCGTGGGCTCCCGGCCTCTCCACAGTTGAGGATCCTGTAAGGAGCGAGCCCTTTTCCCATAATGGCTGTACTGAGTGGGAGTGCTTTCCCGATTGACCCGCTGTGAATAGGTGAGTGATTTGAACCCACATCCTTACTTCACAGTGAGTGCTTCGTGGCTGTCCAGTGCAAGGATGTATATACACACACACCTTTGCAAAAAACGTTTGCATCTCTTGCCTGTTTGTTGCAATAACCTCTTCATTTGTCTTTTCCCTTCCAGCATTGCAGATGATCCCTGTAAAAGAAATCTGATCACATTCACACGCTGCTCCGCCCATTTCACTCAGTAAAGCCGAAGTCCTGCAGTGCTTTGCTCTGCCTTGGGCCACCCCGCCGTCCTCCCAGACCCTCCCTCCTTCTCACTCCACTCCAGCTGCCCTGGTCTAGTTCAGAGTCCCTGACTTTTCCCACCCCGGAAACACTTTCTTCTGGCGGCTCTTGTCCCCGACTCTTCCCACTCTCTTTAAGTCTTTGCTCAAATGTTGCCTCTTCAGTGTGGCCTAGACCATCACCACCTGGCCTTCGCCGCATACCTTTTTCTCTGCAACTCCTACCCAACACACCGTACTATAGAACTTACTAGCATGCTATAAATTTATTACCCTTATCTGTTGCTTCTAACCAAAAGCGTGTTCCATGAGAGCCAAGGTTCTCTGCCTACTTCTGTCTTGTTTCTGGGGCAGCCTCTGTACCTGGACACCATATACTCTTCATACGGATTTGTCAAATCAAATGAAATTTAACAATGCAAACTTCACAAGTATGCATATTGTAGGAAAATTCCCTAAAATTCAGAATTTCAGTCTACCTCTATCTTTTCAAATGACCACAGTGCTTTATAAAAATGACATTGTTCTTTGAGACTGTTTCACAGAGTAATTTGTGCAAATGCAATGTGCAAAAAGTCACAATGGAGGTGTTTCCTCCCCCATTCAAGAGCTGCTCTCTCCGTAATCAGACAGCACCCCACACCCCAAGGCGTTTCTGTCCAGTGCTACTAAAGGAAAGCAGCTCCCCTTTTCCAGTTATGGAAAATATGAGCAATAAAGCATTACTGTCAATGCCGTGATGCTCACTATAACATCATATGCTTGATATTTTCATAATTTTATCAATCTTTTCCAGACATCTTACTGTAGAACACTGTATGTTCTCCAATTACTATTTTTCAGAAATGTGGTTTACAGCTTCTATCAGGATTAGCTTCGGCTTCAAGTGACAAAAGTCCAAAATATGAGTTGCTGAAATAAGATGGCAGTCTCTCCCCTCAACGGGGCTGTTACACCACCTTATCTTCAGAGAACCAGGCTCTCTGCAACAGGCTCTCTGCAACATTTCTTTTCATGGTCATCGTTCAGTTCCTTGTGTGAAATTCAAGTTTAGCTGGGCATCCTGTATTTTAATCGGCTAACTCGTGCAACTCTCAACTTAGATCAAGTGGCACTGGAGTCCCAGGGGTTCTGAGCAGCCAGTGTGTAATACTGCATGGCAGCACACCCTGGAGAGGCCAACTGTACAGAATAAAATTAATGCCTTCTATCTTTAGCAACTGAAGTTCTGAAATACAGAAAGGACCTCACAGCTTAACCCATGTTACACAGTGGGGCTTTCCCATGAACATCACGCGTTTCCAGCTGGGCACTCCTGCAGCGTGGCTAAGATGACAAGTTTCCTGGGAGTGGGGGTTCCTGGGATGTGAACCTTTCGGTGCAAAAACTGGAGAAGTTCCAGTTGGAACCCCAGGCATAGATACCAGGATAAATAGGGCCTCTCTCCAGGAGCATCAATTTAATCCAAAGATTCAGTTTCTCATAATTAATGTTCTTGAAAATAGTAATCCCAACAAATCTATTTTTCCAAATGCACAATTTGCATAAATCTCAGAGAAAAGACAACCTCAAGAACATGCCTTTGCTGGGCGCTGTGGCTCAGGCCTGTAATCCCAACTACTTGAAAGGCTGAGGCAGGATCACTTGAGGCCAGGAGTCTGAGATCAGCTTGGGCAACTGATTTATAGTTTGGATTTGTGTCCATGCCCAAACCTTACGGTTGAATTGTAATCCCCAGTGTTGGAGGAGGGGCCTGGCAGGAAGTGATTGGGTCATGGGGGCAGATTTTCCCCTTGCTGTTGTCACGGTGAGTTCTCACAAGATCTGCTTGTTTAAAAGTGTGTGGCATCTCCCCCTGCTCTCCCTCCTGCACCAACCATGTAAGACGTGCCTCCTTCCTCTTCTGCCATGAGTTTCCTGAGGCCTCCCTAGCCATGCTTCCTGTACAGCCTACAGAACTATGAGTCAATTAAACCTCTTTTCTTTATAAATTACCGCAGTCTCAGGCAGTTCTTCATAGTAATGTGACAATGCACTAATAGAGCAATATAGTGAGACCCCCATCTCTAAAAATTTTTTAAAACATCCTGCTGGTTCTTCTGCTGTGAGGTGTTGTGGATGGAAGTTCAAGCAGCACTGTCCTAATACATCCACATAGGCTCTTGGCCATTATTCTCATCTAACCTATGTTGCCTGAGACACATCCCTTTCCTCATGGATTTTGGCAGCCCCTTCGCCTCAGGCTGCCTAGGGAATCTGGCAGATGTCCCCGTCTCTGTATTGTGCCTTAATCCGTGCACTCTTCCTGGTGCAAGTGAATCATGTATTCCATCGCCACAGATGCCCATCTTTCTTCACCTTGGGTTCACTCAACTGATGGGCTAAAACAGCTCATTTTCAACCTGGGTTTTGTTACACCATTGCATACTGGGAAATTCTTAAAGCCAAATCAATGTCAGTTCCATTTCAAAGCAGATAGGTAAGTTGTCCATGGCAGAAGGAAAGCAGACTTATATTCAAACACCAGAAAACGAGAGATATCCTAGACTAACACCCAAGCTCATCTGCCTCTAAAATCCACCCTTTCTTTACATACGAAACCCAGGAGAGGAAAGGTAACCTGTCACAGTGATGCTGGCTCAGACAGCTGTCAGCCAGGAGGTCTCTGAGGAGAGGATACATCCCTCAGCAGGAAAAAGGCTGGACTAGCATTGTTGATGTGCCAGGGGAGGGGAAACGAGCCGCTGGGTGAATGCTAACCTTCCAGCCGCTAGCTTTTCAATCAAAGTTTCTCCGTGCAGTGGCCACGCAGAATGATCAAACACTGAACTGTACCGGTACACCCCAACCTTCAAATGCAGTGTTTAGTAGAAGCCAAGAGACAGAATACCAAACTATATTTACTGTTTACAGTAGTAAAGGACAACAAATAATGTACAAATTGGTGAATAAACACAACAGAGCCAACAAACATCCCACCCGAGCCCATACAGCAAACAGGAAATGAGAACATTTCAGCAAGATTTCAAGCAAGCAAGAGATGATGGGGTGGTGGTTCAGGTGACTATAAAAAGGCAGAGAATGGCCACCAAGCAGCAGTGGAGCCTCAGGGAACGACAGTAGGCAGAACTATGAAAATGTTTAATTGGTATAGATCCCAAAATATTTCACAGAACTGAAATCACCAGACTAATGCATAAGTTCAATACATATTTGGAAAGCAGCACGGCACAAACCCACGAGAAGAACATGAAGTCATCATTCCATGGGTTCATTTGTAACCACACTTGGAAGTAGCTCTTTTACACGACAACGTAACTGCAAATTCAGCAATACTTAATCTTACTTTTTTATGTATAGACCATAATTATTCATCAGAAGCAAATACTGGAAGAAATCTGAGGCCACAACACCATTACCAAATGAGAAATGTGGGAATTTCTTCAATATTAAGAGGAAAAGAAAAGCCAATTTTGGTTGTGCCAGTCCTTGCCTGTGTACCGACACCAGGTACTGAGCAGGGAGTGGGGTGGGAGGGATGGCAGGGGGGTGGGTCCTGAGCCTCAGACCCCGAGATTACATGCTTGAGGGCCAGAGAGCACGTGGGGTCAAATTACCAAAGGACCCAGTTATTTTTTAACCTTTGAAGAAGCATTCCAGTATTTTCCCTTCAACTTTTCCATATACTGACAAAGCATACATTTGCAATATTTAGCATTTTAATCACCTGTGCCTATAACAGCAAGTGACAGTCTATCCTTCCTACCCACCTTGCCCCCATTACCTGTCCAAGAGCCGCACCCCCCACTGCGGGAAACACCAATTCTCTGTGTGACTGGAGCGAGCAGGGGAGAGGCAGCAACTCAGCAGTCAGATCCCTGGCCAGACTAAAAGCGAACATTCAGGCTATAATTCTGGGGTTAAAAAATATTTTAGGTGGGGGGAAAAAACACAAATGAATACACAAAAAAACCCAAAATACCTTGCAACTCATTTTACCTGAACAAAGATAACAATTCTGATTGGCCCAATTTAAGTTACAGATTCATCCCTGCAGATATAGTTTCGAGTTGCACTTGAAGTACATCAGAGAGAGGAAAATCATTGTGGTGAATGTCCTCGAGTTTCCGCAGACACCTTTGTGGTCGGCATGGTCACGTGCTCACCATTAAACAGCAATGCAAAGACGGACGGCCCGGGCTGGGGACGGGCCCTCTAGAAACCATGCCCTGCCAGGCTGCTCTCCGGCGCACCTCCTGTCTGCTGCTGGAACACGTCAATGGTGTCCTCATCCTCCATCTCCAGCTGTCAGGGTTGTCACAGCAGGCACAACAAGAGAGAGGGAAGCTTGTTAGTTTTCATCAGAGAGCGGGAAGATCCTCCCTGGCATGAGTGTTCCCTGACACTAGCAACATCACCTGATCCCACCTTGGCTCCTGTCCGTCCCCTCACTGCAGCTCAGCACGCATGGAAGAGGCATTGCTATGTGCTCACCACAGCCCTTACGGTTCAGCAAGCTTCCCCTAACAAAACTCACAAAAGCAGATTCACAGCTAAAATGTTAACTGAGAGAAAAATTGAGTCTAGAAGATAAACTGAAATGTCTAAAATTCTTGCTGAAAAATTACACAAAATCAGATTCTACTTAAGAACATCTGATTAGCAGCACTGAGTCCTAGGACCTGCGGGAGCCATGCGCTTTCTACCAAGTGCGAGGGACCATGCCATGAAAGCCAAAGCCCCCAGCTCACAGAAGGGCCCATCAAGTGAGGGTCCACGGCTGGCTTCTCCCGCCCCTCCCCGTTCAAAGCCCAGGCAAGGTGGTGAAACACCCCCGCTCACTTCTCTCCTCCCGACACAGTGGGCGCAAAACACCCACCCTGATCATCTTCCATCCTCTGAGCAAGAGGAAGCTTCTGCCAGTTCCTATGGAGACAGCGAGACTGGAAGCAGTCATGCTCCCAAATGGAAAGAAGTCCCATCAGGGCTGTCGGCCACCCTCACCCTGCCACCGACACTACGGGCCAGAGGGAGAGCCCCCAGGCAGGGCTCCCTCTGCCTCTTGGTCCACCTGTCCACAGCCTGCCCCCTGACTCCCAGTCAAGTCCTGGAGACTCCACAAGGCCCTCCCCGCCCAGCAGCCTCTCCCTGGTGAACGCTCCCAGAGCTGCCACTTCTTAGTGGTGTGTAGATTTCGTAAAGTAGCTAGAAATGGATACTTATTGCAAAGATGTTTTCAATATTTATTAAATACTGAATATTAAATGTTTAAAATACTAAATGTTTTGCAAAAATATTTCCACATAAAACATTCCAGTGGATTCTCACAACTTGAGAAAAAGCTCCATTTACAGACAGACAAAACTGAGCCTCCACAGGATGAAGTGACTCTTGGTCACAGGGCCATCAGCTGACAAATGACAAGAGCTGTAACTTGAACCAAGTTTTTTAAAAAAGTCTGTTTCGGCCAGGCGCAGTGGCTCACGCCTGTAATCCCAGCACTTTGGGAGGCTGAGGTGGGCGAGGTCAGGAGATCAAGACCATCCTGGCTAACATGGTGAAACCCCGTCTCTACTAAAAGTACAAAAAAAGTAGCCGGGCATGGTGGCAGGCACCTGTAGTCCCAGCTACTCGGGAGGCTGAGGCAGGAGAATGGCGTGAACCCAGGAGGCGGAGTCTGCAGTGAGCTGAATTCGCGCCACTGCACTCCAGCCTGGGCAACAGAGCGAGACTCCATCTCAAAAAAAA